TGAATATGTATCAGTATTTACTAAGTATTTCATGTATGCTGAACCTTGTGTCAGGAGCTTAAGCAGTAAAACAGACGAATCGATTCAATAAAGTATTGTTATTATATTTTATCAGTGACTTGGATAACAATGTTTGCTTATCAGCTCTACATAGGACATGAAGCAGGAATAGACAATACAACGGATAACAAAAATTCAGAATAAAAAAGATTCTTACTGTCTGCAATCACAGGCCTATTTTAATAAGATTAAAAATTTCAGAGGTAATGTAAGGCTATAAATCTCAGTCCAAACCCCCTCTCCCCCACAATTGGACAACAATGCAGCATGATACACTGGAGGCAGTACAAAGATGGAAGGGCATAGCTTCTTCATAAGCCAAAGAGAGCCAAGCTCAAATTCCACTTCTGTTTCTGGCCACACAATCTCGTGCAAGTCATTTAACTTCTCTGAGCCTTATAAGATGAGACACCACATATGATACAGAATTATTGTGAGGATTCAATTAGAAAATGTTACTGACACAAGGCACTCAAAAGTAGAACTATTATTATCAACACTACATGTGTCAAAGTCATTGGAGTTCCCATTTAGTTATTCCTCCAATAAACAATCATATTATGTACAAGTCCCAGTGCTATATTTCAGGATTCAATGGCAAGAAAAGCTATGGCTCCTGCTTTTAAGGATCTAATAGTTTTAAGGATTAGACAAACCAGGAGAGACAGTATGGCAGTTTGTAGATAAAACTAGCACAGTACAATGTGATGTTTGTATAGAGTGTTATGGGATGAGGAAGGAGGGATATCTAAATTAGACTGAAGAAACAGGGATTTGTATTTTAGCAAAGATCTGTATTTTATATAGGGCACAAACACCAGAGGGCCAGACTGCTAAGGCAGAGCAACCAGGAATATAGGCAGGAATTAAGAAGAACCTGATTTAAGGCAGAAGGAGAGAAAATAGAGAAGACGAAGATGTGTCAATAGATATTAAGGATTCTGATGACTACCTGGGCTCAGAGAGATGGCATGAGAGGGAAAAGCCCACAATTACTCCCAGGGTTCTGTTTTGAATGACTAACTGGAAAAAGGAGAATGAGTGAGACTACAGAATGGTGAATCACAGGTTTGGTGGAGAGATGGTGAGCTTCATTTTGAACTTGCTGAGTGTGAGGGCTGGCACTCAGGAGAGATCCAGGCTCAAGTAGAGCAGGGGTCACTGGCACATAGTGGGAGTTGCAGCTGGCGGAAAGTAGAGAAGGCAGATCGTTGGTGAAAACTAGCATTTAAGTGACAAAAGGAGGAAAAGAGCCCACCATAAAGAAATACTACAAAGCAGGAGTGGGTTTTTCATATGTGAAAGAGTATCAGGCAATATCAGATGTACTGAGCATTCAAAAGATTAAGAAGGAAAAGTGTTTAGGAGTTCTGACAACATCCAGGTCTGATGACTGGAAGCCTCAAAGGCATGATTAAGAGGCTGGGAGAGGAATGAAAATGTGAAAGACAAGGAGTCAGATAAGAGCTGCTCATGTACAAATGAGAAGCACTGAACAATGCTAAGAGCTGACAGTGTGACAGTGTCAAGAGCACGATGTGATGTGTGTGTTTACTACAAAGCCAGATGGGGCCTTAGGTTATCTCAAGAAAAAGTCCTGCTTTTCATGATCAGACCCCTTGAGGAAAGAGGACTTCCTTTCTACACCACACAAAGAGACTGTCAAACATGAACAAGTTCAAAAGAGGGTAATCAGAATGAAGAAAGTATGAGGTAAGGTCAACAGTGATCATTCTGGGGCTGGACTGATACCAAATGCATATGCTGTTACCCAGTCTGCCACGACCATGGAGATGCATACTGTCTACTTGGTAGCAAGGCAGCACCTATTTTTTCACCCTTGAATCACAATTGGGTCTTATACTGAGAAAAGTATAAGTAAGGATTGGGTGATAGAGAAGAGGAAGGCATTTGAGAACTTTGCTATTCCATGGGTAAAACTGGAAGACTGAGGCAATCTGAGAGAAGGTAGGAATAATCAGGGAACTATAATCAAAGAACTCTGTTACTACTTATTACCACGCTGAGGATTCATTATCCTCTACTCCAATAGCTTGATTCCTTTCTCCCTCCTCTTCCCTGTATGGGGTCACACCAGTTCAGCAAATCCCACTTCCTTTATCTTTCAAATCCACCACCCCTCTCCCTCTCCACAGTCACTGCCTTGACTCAGGCCTCCTTCTTCTGTCACCTAGACCACTGTTGCTGTCCCATCCTGTTCAATGTAATCACCACAATGCTGCCTGAGTAATTTAAAATAGATGAGAGCCTGTCACACCTTGTTTAAAATCCTTCAATGCCCCATTCTCCAGCACCACCCTTTCAAAGTCCAAACTTCTCTGCATGGCACTATTAACTGCTGCAATTTATTGTTTGCCATCTACCAGAGACAATTGGATAACACTTATCTTATTTAATTCTCACATCAACCCTGGGAGCGCTTGTATTTCCTCTTTTTATGGATGAGAAAATGAAAGCTTAGAAAGTGACTTGCCCAAGGTCACAAAACTGGCTCAGCAGCAACGCTAGTGCTAGTATTGGTACGCAAGTATTTTAGATTCCAAAGTCTGTATTCATAACATGCTATTGCCCGCAAGGTCCTTCATGATCTGCCTCCCGCTTACCTTTTCAGTCTCCTCTTTTCCTACAACTCCACACTGCAACTTGGGTGAACTACTGGCAGGTCATGCGTTGTCGCCCACAGCCTTTGCTCACACCACTCCCAGCAGTCTGCACTATCTTCCCACCTCTCACCTTTAGGACTTGGGTAAAGCAACACCTCCTCACAGAAGCCTTCTCTGATGCCCAAGTCTGACCTATGAGCACCTTAAATCCTCCTCTAGCAAACATCTACAATAGTTTCATACAGTAGCACTGTTGTCTGTCTCCTTGAAGTGGAAAAAAATTCCTTGAGGACAGGGAGGTGTAGCTTACTCTGAGTTATAGTCCTGTGGGCTGCTGACTGCTCACTCACCTTTTCCGTGGAATACCAACAGTGTACACACTTGACACCAACACACCCTCTCCACAGCCCCTAGAAGGTCTGTTTTTAGTATTTCCAGCTTGCAGAGCAGTGCCAAGCACAGCAGCAGCTCAATAAATACTTATGCTTATTCTTTATTATGAGAGGCTGGCTGGGAACAGAAAAAGGACCTGTGGTTGAAGAAGAGCCCTACACTTAATTTCTTAAATGGTTTCGAAATATGTCACATGAAGCTTTCTCTGATGTCTTCATGTGACATGAGAAGTTATGTCACCTCCTCAGAGAAAAGCTTCTGCTTCCCCCTAGTTACTTTCCATCCCATCACTACGTTCCTTCCTTTCTTTTTTTAAAAGCATTAGGATCTGAAACACCTACCATCCATTAAAAGTACTGTACTATTGACTATCACCACCACTGCTGCCTCCATGATTAAAATGCCTCAATGTTAGTTGTGTATAACAAAATTCTTAATTGGTGTGGTTTACTGTGGGTAAAAAAAATTAAACAAGCCCTAGCCAAACAGCGCAGTCGGTTAGAGCCATGGTCGGCAAACTGCGGCTCTTTGGCCCCTTGAGTGTGGCTCTTCCACAAAATACCAAGGCGTGGGTGAGTATTTTGAAGAAGTGGCATTAGAAGAAGTTTAAGTTTAAAAAATTTGACTCTCAAAAGAAATTTCAATCGTTGTACTGTTGATATTTGGCTCTGTTGACTAATGAGTTTGCCGAGCATCATCCCAACACACAAAGGTTGTGGGTTCAATCCTAGGTCAGGGCACACACAAGAAGCAAATCAATGAATGCATAAGTGGATCAACCAAACAATGCTTCTTTCTCTCTCTCTAAAATAAAATTAAAGAGCCTATCCTGAAGAGGAAAAGGTGGGAAGAGGAAGACAAACTAGCAGCTTTCAAAGATGTGTGGACAAGGATAAGGAGTTGATATTACTGGGTATCCGCTTTCTGCTCAACTTATAACTTTTTAAAAGTCAGAGCTGGGGGGGAGGGAGGAAAGGAGGGGAGACCAAATAGGAGTAGCCAGTAAGTAAGCTCTTTCATTTAAGAAATTTAAGCAGTGGGGGTATCACAGAAGAAATTGAAATATTTAATGGAAAAAGGAAATTTGGGACCAAAACTGGCAGCTACAGATATGCCTGGTTTCAGCTACACAAAAATGTTTAGTTAACTGCCAATTTTTAAAAATTGCATTAGTTGCCAGGGTTTAAAAAATCAAGAGACAGATCACATGTGCGAGCACACACACACACACACACTCTCTCTCTCTCTCTCTCTCTCTCTCTCTCTCTCTCTCTCTCTCTCTCTCTCACACACACACACACACACACACACACACACTGGAGTTTGTTTCGCTTCTCTCAACATCATCTACGCTAGTATGGTGCTCATAACTCAGTTCAGCATAAATAAAAGTTTGACTCTGTTTGTGACATAGAAATTTTCTTACACCTACATTTACCTTATCTGACTAAGCATTCAAGTTTGCAACCCTCGGACCAACCCTCGGAATCAAGAACCTGAGCTCAGAAGAGCCCAACTTGAGGTCCTCACTTCCAAATAACGTTATGGTCCCTAAGAAGGCTCAGGAAGGGGGGTGACGGGCCAGTCACACAGCACAACATCCGGGCAAAGCCTGGACGAGCAGCCAGGCGCCCTCATTCCGGAGTTCCAACGCCCGGCTCTCGAAGAACTCCTGGCCGGAGGGCTGAAGGGACTGACGTGGGAAACCAGGACCTTCCGAGTCAGAAGACCCGGGCGGACCGAGCCAGAGGGGAAGGAAGTGGAGGAGGGCGAGAACGACAACTCAGTTACTCGGTGGGAAATGGAGGATCCTGAGACCCTCCGTGACCTTCGCCTTCGCCGCAGAGTTCGCCCCCTCCCGCCAGGCCTCCAAAACCAACGCCAAAGGACCCCACTCCTCCTCCTCCAGCACGGCTCACTTACCGCCGCTCAACTTCCGGCAACCCCGCAGCGACGTCCGCAGGGCGCGCTCCGATGACGTAATGTGACCCCGCCCCCGCCTTGGGGTTAGTGGTGCGCATGCGCACAAGGAGCCGCGGCCCCGGACTCGGAAAAGGAGCCCCTAGCACCGGATGGAGTGGGCGGGACCTGAGTCCTGGGGAAGGTGGATCGGAACATCGGTGCTGGGTGAAGCCCCCTGGTGGGAGCTAACCTGGAGAGGCGCCCCCTTACCTGATGTGGGAATGAATGTGTATATGCCCCCCAGGCTTTTAAAAAAGCGCTCCACATTCTCTCTGCTGTTTTCAGAGGATGGCAGGAAATATCCTTTCTATTTTCTGGTAGAGGCAGCATCAAATGTATTTCAGCGACCATTAGGAGGTAGGTGTGGAGAGACAGAAGATGGGAATTTTAATAGGTCAATAACATTCGATAATGACCCAACCTGCGCCTTCTAAACCAGGCATTATTCTCATTGCTCTCCTTTTTCCATCGGATAGTTATTCATCTATCGATACATTATTTATTGAGTATATATTATGTGCCCAGGGGCGCAGAGATGCTTAAAATACAACAGTGAGTGTAAACCTAATCTGATATATCAATCCATTCACAAAGTGACTGTGATGTGATAATAATAAGAGTAATGACTACTGTTTGATGATTATCTAGCATGTTTACAGGTTTTCACATCTCTAATTGCCACAGAGGTCCAACAAAGTAGGTGTTATATTATTCCCATTTTACATAGGAAAGAATGGAGGGTAGGAAAACTTAAGGGGCTTGCTGAAGTTAAAGAACTTTTGGCCTAGGATTCTGATCGAAGCCTGTTTGACTTAGTAAGGAGATACTTTATCCAAAAGGATTCTTATACAGAATGAGGGAGGAGAGGGAAGAGACTATTGCGACAAGGGAGGGAAATATTGCAATAGGAAATCACTCTGACCAAAAGATCTGCAAATGTCTCAAGAGTTAGGCAAAAGAAGTTTCTTCAGTAGGGAAGAGTGAACAAGACTAAAAGAAACTGGGTGTGGAAAGTGGGAAGAAAGGGTGGTTTGATTTAATAGTAGTAAATCAGACTGTTTTACCTTGAGGCCAGCCAGTTCTCATGAGGGGTTGTATGCAGTTTCAGCCTGTGAGTGAATCAACGTTAAGGAGTCTGGGGAGCTTAACTAAAGTTGGTTATTAGGCACTTTTTTGTTTGATCAGTGAAGACATGTAGTTCAGCTAATTACTTACAAGGCAAAGAATATCAATTCAAGCCTGTGTCTGTCCTTGCCGCAGAAAACAAGGAAATATCCATAAGTCTTATTTAAGTTATGAGAATTGATGTTTCTTTGCAGAAAACCATTTCAGAAGCACAAAAGTGTGTGTGTGTGTGTGTGTGTGTGTGTGTGTGTGTGTGTGTTGGGTTGGAAAGGATTTCTTAACCATTGCTGTTTTTTAAGAGCAGGAGACTCAAGTAAAATTCAACATTGTCAACTGTTTTCACTAACCAGGTTTCTCCCCTGCCACTGCCCCTCAGACAGCATGGTTGGGTCACACGAAATTAATTCTGGTGTTTTTAGCACACCCTGCTAATTCATCTCTCTATCTGCAATATCCTCACACTTCCTCTTATGGTCTAACCCTTTCTCCAACATCAAAATCCAGTTGAAACGTGGATGAATCTTAGACAAAATGTTGACTGAAAAAGAGAACATATTTATATGATTCCACTTAGGTAAAATTATAGAATCGGCAAAACTAATCTATAGTGATAGAAGTCATATCAGTGATTGCCTGGGGCATAAGGGAGGCATTATCTGCAAAGAGGCATGAGAATTTTCTAGAAATGTTCTATCTTGATTGAGATGAGGATGATGTGAGTGTATGTGTTTATCAAAATTCTACATTTTAAGTGGGTGCATTTTACTGTGTATATTTAGTGTAATAAATAAATAATAAAAACCACAGTAGGGATGTCATCTCCTATGTGTCTGACACCCACCATCTCTAGGCTTCACTCTATTAAGCTTATATGAGTGTAGGTTAAAGTTAGTTCTTTATAAGCTTGTTTCCCCAGCTGGACTTTGAGATCCTTATAATTAATACCCTTTGGAGTTTCTGCCCAACTCATAATTTTTCCCTCTCCTCTGGGAACTGCTGGTCCTCCAGCCATGTTTGTACCACTTGTGCCACTTACTCACACCCCCACCCACCTCTCTTCAGAGTTGATTGCAGTTGAGGTGGACATGGGACAATTCTTTACCCTGAGTTTGGATTTTTGTACTGACTCTCATAAACAGTAGGAAAAAGAATTAATCATATAGGTCAATGGCAATATTTTAGAGGGAACTTCTGCTGTTGAGGTTCCTGTGGCTGACTTGGCTCAAACCTTTCTGAAGCAAGGTCATCCAAAACATTCCTGGATATCACAAAACACCTCAGCAGCATTCACAAAGCTGATTTCTGTCTTTTGCAACCCTAAAGTAACTCCACATGGTTGAAATCATGTCTGCCTTATTCTCCATTGTCTCCTAATGCCTGGCTCAAGAAGTGTTCAAAAGTACTTGTATGTGTCCTCAAAGAAGCATTTTTATCAAAAGCTACGGATGTTTTATTCTTCCTTTGAATAAATTTAACTTACGACTACATTAATGAAGATATGTGCTTGAAGATAGATTTTTCTTGAGTTTATTAATACTATGCTACCTGTTTTTTTTGTGTGTGTTGTTTTTTAAATATATATTTATTGATTTTTTTTTACAGAGAGGAAGGGAGAGAGATAATTAGAAACATCAATCAGCCACCTCCTGAACACCCCCCACTGGGGATGTGCCCACAGCAAAGATACATGCCCTTGACTGGAATTGAACCTGGGACTCTTCAGTCCGCAGGCCAACACTCTATCCACTGAGCCAAACCAGTTAGGGCTAGGGGTTGTATTTTTGTTTTTTGCTTTTTTAAAATATGTTTTTATTGATTTTTAGAGAGAAAGGGAGAGGGATAGAGAGATAGAAACATCAATGAGAGAAACATCATCGATTGGCTGCACAGCTTCCACTAGAGATCAAGCCTGCAACCTGGACATATACCCTGACCAGGAATCGAAACAATTACCTCTTTGTTCATGGATCGACGCTCAACCACTGAGCCAAACTGCCCTCTCCTGTAGGCCTGGTCCCACCCAACTGCCCTCCCTTGCAGGCCTGGTTTGCCCCAACTGCTCTCCCCTGCAGGCCTGGGTTTCCCCAACTGCCCACCCCTGCAGGCCTGGTCACCCCCAACTGCCCTCCCTTGCCAGTCATCTTGTGACGGCCATCTTGTGTCCACATGGGGGCAGCCATCTTGTGTGTTGGAGTGATGGTCAATTTGCATATTACCTCTTTATTATATATAGGATTTACGGTGGTAGAAAGTCTGGTTTCAACTGGAATTTGTGCAAGCCATCGGGCACTGATTCGTTGCTGAATGTACTGAGGTGGAGTTATCTCATATGAATTTAGTCTTTTCATTAATTCAAAATCCAATCATTCAGATAGGAGTAGGAATTGAAGGTTGGTACTATGGAAAGGGAGCACAATCCAGAATCAGATCTTACAGCTGTCCCTTAATCTCTCTGTACTTCCATTTGCCTATTTGTAAAAACATGGAAATCTCCCTCATGAGACTGCTATAAAGATTAAATTATTTAATGGTGGTAAAGCACAAAGCACATAGTATATTCTCAGTATATTTGAAAACTACATACGGGTACCCTCTGTGTACCAGCCACATTGCAAGCGTTATAAAAACAACAACTGTATACAATAATGCATGGACCTTGTTCCTTATGCTCTGACAATTTATACTGATCATTTCTAGTTCTTGTCAAACTCAAATCCAGGTCCTTTTGACCCAAAGTCAGAGCTCGTAATATTTTGCTTCACTAGTTGCCTTAACTGTTTATCAACATGAATAATGGGCATTTAGTCATTTGCCTGTATGGAGTGGTCTCTTTAGGTGGTCCTTGGTCCTAAGGGATCCCAGTGAAGGGTTCACAGATCTTCTGAGAAGCCTGGAAATAGACCAGCTGCAGCTTCTAACACCAGGATAAAAATCTCCTTGGCTCCCACAGTTTTGAGCAAGAATAACTTATGGGGATTCAAAGCAGAGTGAGAGTGAAGCTAGTTTTGAAAAGCAAATCCTTTTCTAAAGACTTTTGCAATGTGATCAGAAACCAAAGAGAACCCCTATATGAGCTCTTGTAATCTTAGGCAGTTGTTTCAATACATCTTCTCCCTCTGAGAGACTCAGAATGGTGGAATTAAATAAGTCAAACTTGTAACAGTATAGTTTTAAATATCATATTTTAAGTAAGTAAAAAACAACAACAACAACACCTCTCATTTTAACAGATCATGCAAACAAGAATACAAGACACAAAATGCCAGCTTGTACAGGCACTCCATTTGCTACACAGATTACAATTTAGCATCACATTTAAGAACATAAGTCACCACCAGATTGCAACATAAACATCAAGTAAAACTGTATGTTACCATGCCTTTGCTAGTTTTTACTTGAGAGACATGACTAAAAAACATGACCACTTTGGGGCAAACACAGCAGACCTCACAAATAGCACACTGTCCCTTCAAAGTATCACCTACAGTGGCCACAGACACATTCTATGTTGGCTGTTCCTGCTCACAGCATATTCTTTTGAGAATTGCTGAGAATTGCTACCACTCTCAGGAACTCTGTGTGTGTGTGTGTGTGTGTGTGTGTGTGTGTGTGTGTGAGAGAGAGAGAGAGAGAGAGAGAGAGAGAGAGAGAGGGAGAGAGAAAGTTTTGCTTTAGGGAGAAAATGTTTATGATGAGCTGAAACCCCACAGGGTTTCATTCTAGCTCTCTCAAATAACTAGTTCTGTGATCTTGGGCAACTTATTTCACCAAACTGCATCTCACTTTGCTTCGCTCATTACACCACCCTCCTGTTGTGGGGTGTGATGGGGATTTAGTTAGATAAACCTGGCATAACACTCAAGAAATACGGCTTTCTTCTCTTATTCCATTTTTAAAAAATTTTAATGTGAAACCATTAATATTTTATTTTTTTCTTTCTTTTGTAGGCAGCTTTTATCATCTTTTTAAAAAATTGCTAAAAGGAATTTGGGGTTGAAAATGATGAGTGTGCGAGCTGCCTAATTTCCTATCAATTCTGAGACATGTGTGAATGAGAAATAATAAGGCAGAATTTCTAGGGCAGTTCAGACATTAGTTCTGGAAAAAGCTGTAAAAGAGGCTCAGAAGAAAGGTATTCTGAGAAGTGGCAGTCACAGTGCAATACCTGTTATGCCCCTCTCAAGGTGACCCCCGGAAAGGGACAGTATCTATCTGCATGTGTGTGCACAGTCAATATAGATCCATTCCAGGAAGGCTCCAGAGTTCAACTCTCCAGTGGAACTCTACCCACGAGTCCCTTCAACGACCAATTAACTCAAGCCTGGAAGCTTGAATTACAAGGAGAGTCTGAGGCTCCCACATTTCTCTGAGGAACAGGCGTACTCGTCCAGATTCCATGCTCTTGGAAATACTCTGCTTTGTACTCAAAGTTACATTCTCTGCTGACCACTGCCATCTGCAGTTCTTCCGATGGTGCCTAAGAACTTTCCAGATGACCCGGCCCTTGAGACCATTCGTTTGACTCCAGAAAGCCCAGGTACCTGGCAACTCGCAGGCCTTCGCCCTCCATTTTCCTCAGAGTCATCCTAAGTGTCACTTTGCTGCATCCCCTTCTAGCCTCCCTTAGGAGCGAATGTGCAGGATTTTCTTGAATGTCTTCTTGAAGTTCTCATTGCACAAAGGGTAGATGAGGGGGTTCAGTGTAGAGTTGATGTAGCCCAGCCAGATGGTGAACATGTGCACATGTTCGTTGCAACAGCTCTTGCAGAAGGCAATGACCATGAAGAAGATGAAGTAAGGAATCCAGCAAAGGATGAAGGCCGCCATGATAAAACCCAATTGTTTGGCAGCCTTCCGTTCTCGGTTCAGTTGCAACCCAGACATATACTGCCTTGAATGAGAGCGGAGCCTCTTCCAAGTGAACTTGATATAATCCAGGCGTGTGCTGGACTCACTTGATGGTTTGCCTTTCCCGGATGCTGATTCTGTAGGGACGTCTGAGTCTGCTAGAGAGAAGGACTGGCTATCACCTAGGGTCTGGTCCTCTGACACCTCACAGGCCCCATGCATGGTCAGGCTCTGCTCATCTATCTCAAGCTGGCTCTGGCTCTGGTTGATGGCCGTGTAGTCCCTGCCACTCCCCTCTTCCTCTGTCTGTGTTTGCACAATATTAAGCGGGAAGCAGTGACGTTTGTCCACTTGTTCATCCTCCTCTTGGCTGCAGACACTTGAGGATTTCTTCTCGTTTAGATCTTGGGACTTCAAGACAGGGACACCACCAGCAACTTTCTGTTTCCTTTTCAGAACCTCCCAGGGAGACTTCTTCTTTGGTTTCATGGCCGCTATCTTGGGGTTCTCTGGCTTGTGCTTAATTTCAGAGAAGGAAGGGAGGGATCCATTCATGAGCTCCCGGTGCTTACAGTGCTGCTGTACAGCCTTGTAGATTTTGGCATAGAACCAGAGCATGAGCAAGGTAGGCAGGTAGAAGTTAATGATAGCAGTCATGACCTTGAACCAGGTGACATCATAGAAGCCTGTCTCACATTTGTCTTTCTGGGGCCCTGAGTAAGGCCAGCCCAGAATGGGAATAATCCAGAGGAAGGAGAGAAACCAGGCTCCCAAGATAGTGGCCAATGCTCGGGTCTTGGTGCGATACCTCAGGTATCTGAGGGGCTGCTGGACAGAGCGGTAGCGATCAATGCACAAGATGAAGACGCTGAAAATGGACGCTGTGCTGGCCACATAGTCCATGGAAAGCCAAAAGAGGCAGAGAGGCTGGCCCAGAGACCACGTGGACCTGAAGAGGTAGATGATGTTCATTGGCATGACAACAGCTCCTACAATCAGGTCCGCCACTGAGAGGCTAATGATGTACAGGTTCCCCACAGTGTGTAGCTTCCGCTCGCTCCGCACAGCACACAGGACCAGCAGGTTGAGCCCCACTGTGACCAAGGAGATGGTGCTCAGGACTACCACTAGGGGCATCAGTTGGTGGTTGGCCATGATGGTCTTGTTCCCTTCACACATCTTATCTTCTAAGATGCTGGAGAGTCATTGGCAAAATAGCAACCTCCAGCTATGGCTCACTCCCTGGGAGGAAAGACACAAGGCTAAGGTTAGATTCTTGGTGATCAACAGTCACTTAGTACCATTCATCACATTGATCAAACTGGGGTTGTATGTGGTCGGGGGCAGCAGACACTGCTGGTTACCTAAAACCTATACCCCTCCTTCCTTAGTTATTCCTTCCTTCATTTAATGACAATTTATTGAATAGCTGGCATTGGTCCTGGCATATAGCAGTGAACAAAACAAAAATCTCTGCCCTCAAGTTGCTTATAGTCTAGTGAGGGAGTTGGGCAAAAACAAGGGGAAGTTTGTATAAATCCATGTGGCATGTGTTCTGGGAAGGTGGGCTGCATTATGATTAACCCAAGCTGAATATCGTGCTCTAGTTCCTCATTGCCAGGGGCTGGTCTAGGGGTTGGCATGGGACAACTGTGACCAAGGAAGTAGATGGGAAAGTCTCTGGACAAAGGTGGGGTTCTGGAAAGTGCTTCCTCTCAGAAAAATGAGCAAAACAAGGAAAATCGTTGTTTCCCACTTGCTGCCTTTTTCCTAACAGGAAGTGATGCTTGGGGCTACTGAGATCATCTTGGGGCCACCAGGGAAATGCTAAGAAAACCACTGAGACGCCAACCCAGAAAGTCCTACTGTCACTGTTGAACAGAACCTGAATCTTCTTCCTCCACACTGGTTATCATGGGAAATAATTAAATGGCTTTGCTTAATTAACTATTATGGGAGTTTTTACTGGCAACTAAAAGCATCCTTAATCAATAGGGGGGAGGTTGCAAGGGTATACGCAGCATGGTTCTCAAATGGAGATGAATGGTTCTCAAATTGGGAGAGGGTTATTATTTGAGAAAGCATATTTCTGATTATTTTACTTTTATATTTTATCGAATAAAACTATGCGTGCATTGTTCGTTTATGCTGAGAACAGGCTGTATGTTGTTATTGGTGATCCTCAGTCGGGGTGGGAAGCAGAAGTAGGTATTAAAACTTCCAGATTTTTATATTCATCAAAAAGTGATATGAGTTTAAAGAAAACTGAGAAACATTAACAGAGATCATAAATCTCTCAATAATTTGGGGGGCGGGGGAGAAACACCTAGTTTTTCATTAAGGTGAAACTAGATAAATCCCTGCATATAAGGCCAAATCCATATTTTTTTAAGATTAAAACCATGACCCCAAGGCATTTGGTCTTGGTAGAAGGAACCCATTGAGTTACTTTGTTGGGAAAGTACCACTTGGGTGGCACTGATTTTTGTTCCAGCTCTGCTGCTAATTTTCTTGAGTGATGTCTCAGCCTACTTTTTCTCGTTGGTCAAATGTAGAAAGCTGGGGTAGGTCTCCCTTTTAGAGTCTTGCTTTAAGTATTTTTCCATGTTATTTCCTGAGTGTGCCTCCTCTGACCCCTTCAACAGCATCACCTTCTCCCCCTGGGACCCAGTCCTGCCCTCTGCTCCTGTGACTCTATGCTATCAACCTCAGAAGCCTTATCCACTCACCCTCCCCCCATTCACCCCAGCCATCACCTCTTTGTGGACAGCTCCCAAATCTACAGCTTCAGCCTGTATCTTTCTCCACTCCTACAGACAATACTCAACCGACATATTGGAGCTTCAGCTTCAGCTCTAACCATGTCAAAACCCCTTGGAATTGTCCACAGTCTCCTCAGGAAGGAGGAACGAAGGCGGAGGCGGTGTCATCTAAGGGTTTTATTGTTTTGATTGGAAAAAAGCAGGAAGCTTCCTAAAACACTGCCAAAAACAGATCACTGAGCCGAAAGGAAACTCTCACCAGTAAATATCTGGTGGATGAAAATAACTTTGCATTCCCAACACAGCATCCCCTCCAACCGAAGTGACTCATTTCTCTCTTTCCCTCATTGCCTGGAGGAAATTTCTCTCTTTGAGTCATTGCACACAGAGGGGAATCAGTGTGTTTTGTTTTGTTTTGCATTGTGCATAAACTATGATTCCATAATTACGTTTAATAGAAAATGATTTGTTTCTATATAAAAATATATATTTCCTTTTTTGTTTTTTGCTTAAAAAAGAAAAGGTGTTATGATTGAATTGAGATCACAGAACTAAAAATTAGTATTAATTGTTTGGTTTGGGGTGAAATCTACTAAATCTGCAACTTTGAGATGAATCAAAGAATAAGTTGGATGGATAACTGATTAAAAGGATGGGTGAACAAACAGATATATTAAGCAAAAAGAGCAAAATGTTAATTTATAACCTGGGTAGTGGGTATATGGGTGTTCACTGTGTAATGCTTCCAACTTTTCTATTTTATTGATAATTTTCATAATAAAATGTTGGAAAAATTAATACAGTATAAGTTTATCTTCTTCACCTATCACCATGAGCTTGGCTTTTTTTTTTTTTTTTTTTTTTTTTTAAATCCTCACCTGCGGATATTTTCTATTGACGTTATAGGGAGAGAGAGAAGGAGAGGGAGAGAGGTGAGAGAAACACATCAATTGGTTGCCTTCCACACACTCTCTGACCAGGGCAGGGATCGAACCTGCAACCAAGGCATGTGCCCTTGACAGGAAATTAATTAAACCCATGACCCTTGGGTCCATGAGCTGGTGTTCTAACAACTGAGCAAACTGGACAGGGCATAAATCTGATCTTTATCATGTTTTCTCCTTTATAGCTTGGACATGTTATTTTTTGCATAAAAGTAAAAGATCAATAAATAGCTGTTAAGTGAATAAATAGAGAATGAGCAGCAGGACGATCTGAAATACCTGAGTTCAGAATTTATTCACCCAACAGATATTTACGGGTGAAAGTTTCCTTTTAGCTCAGTGATCTGTTTCAGGACCAAGCAAATCCACTTTTGTCCTAAGCCCCGGGATTCTGAGGAAGATTCCTGGAAAGGCAACTGCAGTACCCGCACTGCATCACAGGGCATTTGGGGCTGCCCCTTCTGAGAAACGCTGAGGGGATGTCAGGGGAGGAGGAGGAAGTTTGAGGGAACATGTGACCCCAGCACCGAGCCTGGAGAAATGGGCCCCACAGGGCAGGCAGCCAAGAGGACAATAAGAGTGGCCACATCAGGACCAGCTGAGTAATATGCAGGGCCCAGTGCAAATGAAAAATTAAAATACTATTAAGAATTTTAAGACAGAGACAGCAGAATGTTAAACCAAACATAGGAATCCTGAGCTCAGGGCCTGCCCTGGTCAACGACCGATTAAGTCATTTTTAGTCTCTCTCCCTCTCACCCCATCCCTGAACAGACCCTACTCAGTGAGGTAACTAACGTCATGGCACTCTGGCATAGTGTGGGAGGTATCTGAGGGCACTGATCCTCATTTCACCTCATGCCACCAGGAGGCCACACTCCCCTCAGCTGTCTGGACCCCCTTGGGTTCTGAGGTGCGCTTCTGGGGTCAAGGCCAAACCTTCAGCGGTGGTGCTGGTTGGCAAGAGGATGTGCGCTGAGGAGAGAAATGACAGCTAGAGGCGGCACTTTGGACAGGACATTTTGAGAAGAAAGGTGGGAGCCTGTGGGGGGGGGGGGTTCTTTATAGCGTTGTGCCCATAGTGAAGCAGGTGATGGAAGGAGGGCACTCTCACCCTCTCACCCAGGCTCTGCCTCTTGATGGGCTGTGTGGAGTGTGAGTAAACAGCCAGGCCTCCAATTCCTCTGCTGAATTGTAGGGGAAAACATGATGACTTCCCTCCCTGGGCTGCGGAAGATCACTGGAGACCGGAGGGTGGGGAAGCTCTGCTAACCCCCAGGTGATGTTGACTTGGTGACAAGCAGAAATGGATCCTTTTTCTCTCAGAGACTTCTGTGTACAAGCAAGGCAATTGGTTCATTCCAAAACCATTAGCTCCAGTAGAGCTTTTACTAGAGCGATCACCACCAACAAACAGTCTAGTCCCGTGGTCGGCAAACTGTGGCTAGCAAGCCACATGCAGCTCTTTGGCCCCTTGACTGTGGCTCTTCCACAAAATATCATGGCCTGGGCAAGTCTATTTTGAAGAAATGGCGTTAGAAGAAGTTTAAGTTTAAAAAATTTGGCTCGCAGAAGAAATTTCAATCGTTGTACCATTGATATTTGGCTCTGTTGATTAATGAGTTTGCCGACCACTGGGCTAGTCCAATCAGGCCCCATTTCATCAATGCTGGTCCACAGATGGCTTGGAACTCATTTGGGTGGCAGACCAGGACAGCAGTTAAGCACCAGGTGCTTTATAAACCAGCAAACCTCTGCTCTAATCCTTTTTCTTCCCCAATTAGCAGATATTGGGGCAGAAAGATATTTAGCAGTTCAAGATACTTCACCAAGACTCAGTTTTCCTCACCTTCAAAACGGGGGTAAAGCAAGCACTTAGTACAAGGCCTAACATGCAGGAAGTGCTAAATTAATAGCTCGATTTTTTCTTTCTTTTCTTGGTGAGTGACACAGAGAGCCCACAGCCAGCCCAGCCTGGCTCAGTGGAATCATTCTTGACCTTTCCCTGTTTTTCATTATGGTAGAAAATGCTAATAGTCTTCTAATATCAGGTTTTTCAACACTGGAGAATAGACTTCTGCTTTTAACATAAGAGCCTACATTTCCAGGTAGCTGGAGATTACTATATGACTAGGCATGTAGTTTGCAACTCTCTCAAAGCAACCTTAAAGGAAGGATGTGTTCTTTCCTTTGGCCCTTCTTTCTCCTAGCTGATTCGAATGCTGACAGGATGCATAGAGCTTAAGCAGCCATCTTAGGACCATGATGAAGAGCCATGAAAATGTGAAAAGTAAAGTTGTAATTTGGAAAAAAAAGAAAAAAAAAGTTGAGGTCTCTGATGATAATGGGGCTGCCCTACCAGCCAGGACTCTTCAATTCTGGGTTAGAGTTTTCTATCACACACAGCCAACAGAATCCTAACGGAGACACTGCCCTGATACACTTTAAGAACTTTTGTCAATCAGCTTGAAAAAGAAAGACAAAAGATAAAAAGCATCAAAATTAAATTAAAAACTCTAGAATTCAACGGGGAGAA